GAATGGGTTGCTCGTCCACTGGTTCGCCCTGCTCTACGGCTGGGTCAGTGTGGGTGCCGTTGTTATCGAGGCGGGACTTCGGGCGGCGCTTGCGTCGCCGTTTTTGTTGTTTTTGGGGGAATTATCCTTCGCCGCGTCCCGTTGTTCCTCGTTATCGCTTCCTTTTGGTGTATCCACCATGTATACGTCGTGAGTTGAGGTGGTTTTCCAGTGCCCAACAGGCGCTGGTTCTTGATCGTCTCCGGCATCGTCGTCGATGTCTTCGGAGTCGAAGTCTAGCATGTCGGTTAATTCGTCGACAGTGGCTACTAAGTGGGTGGTGGGTGGGCCTTGAATTTCATCGTCCGCATCCCAACCGTCCTGACCGTAGTCCGGCCAGGGCTCTCCTGATAACGAGAGATGTTTTAGCGAACTCAGGATGTCTCCAAAAGGTGAGTGTTGAAAGATGTCCGCAGCAGTGAACTCCATGATCGACGCCCAATCGGATTCGATTAGAGGGGGCGCGGGAGGTTCGGAGTCCGGCAAGGGGTCCGGCACCTGGGAGTCACGAGCTTCAAAAGGGACAAAGTCAGTATTCGGCTCTATCGCCGTAGAGGTTGCAGCCCTCGAGGCGGTGTCTAACCACTCGTCCTCGATCTGCACAGCCGGCTCTGAATCGAGGGTCGGAGCGGACTCGTGTGCGGCCTCCAGAGCACTGTCCGGCAGCAGAGCTAAATCATGCCCATCATGACAGTGCGGCGCGCTCGGTTGTGGCTCGAATCCGTTGAAGATCAAGTCTCCGCGGATGTCAACCGTGAAGTTCAGACTTCCAAATCTGACCTGACGGCCAGGGGCGTAGCTTTCAATATGCTCTAGATGGCCAAACGAATTGGCCCGCAGTGCAAAGCCGCCGAATACGAAGATCTGTCCGGGGAGAAAAGTCTCACCCTGGACCGCGTCATTGTTGATGATCGAAGGAGCCATCGAGCCTATTGGTGATGACACAGAGGAACTCTCAATGAAAGCACCAATGTCGGTGTCAAAACCGGCGGATCTCGGGTAGGGGGTCCCGAACTGTGCGTCTAGGCGGATGGTAATAGGAGACAAGGGACACGATGTTTTACCCAGGTTCGGGCCCTCTTGATGGAGGTAAAACCCTACGTCCTGCTTGATTGATATTGATGATGTGGGTATTACAAGAGTAGATCTACCACGAGATCAAGGAGGCTAAACCCTAGAAGCTAGCCTATGGTATGATTGTTGTTATTGTCGTTGTCCTACGGACTAAAACCATCCGGTTTATATAGACACCGGAGAGGGCTAGGGTTACACAGAGTCGGTTACAATGGTAGGAGATCTACATATCTGTATCGCCAAGCTTGCCTTCCTCGCCAAGGAAAGTCCCATCCGGACATGGGACGAAGTCTTCAATCTTGTATCTTCATAGTCTTGGAGTCTGGCCGATGATGATAGTTCGGCTATCCGGACACCCCCTAGTCCAGGACTCCCTCAGCGGTCACCGAACCTGTACAAATGGCAACCCTTGGGGGCGGTCACCGAACCCATACACTTTGGCAACCCTTGGGGGCGGTCACCGGTACCCGTCAAATTGCTCGGGGCGATCTCCACAACCTAATTGGAGACCCCGACGCTTGCCCGGAGCTTTACACCACAATGATTGAGCTCCGAACACCACCAACCGTCTAGGGCGCCAAGGCACCCAAGAGGAACAAGCTCTAGGGTGCCCAAACACCCAAGAGTAATAAGCTTCTCAAACTTCACTTCCACGTATCACCGTGGAGAACTCAAACCGATGCACCAAATGCAATGGCAAGGGCACACGAAGTGCCCAAGTCCTTCTCTCCCAAATCCCACTAAAGCAACTAATGCTAGGGAGGAAAATGAGAGGAAGAACGAAGAAGAGAACACAAAGAACTCCAAGATCTAGATCCAAAGGGTTCCCCTCACATAGAGGAGAAAGTGATTGGTGGAAATGTGGATCTAGATCTCCTCTCTCTTTTCCCCCCAAAACTAGCAAGAATCCATGGAGGGATTGAGAGTTAGCAAGCTCGAAGAAGGTCAACAATGGGGGAAGAACACGAGCTCAAAGGATAAGGTTCATTGGGGAAGAAGACCCCCTTATATAGAAGGGGAAAAATCCAACCGTTCTGTGCTCAGCCCGCACACGAGCGGTACTACCGCTAGGGCGGAAGAAGCAAGGAAAACGAGTAACAAAACATGAACCTTGGGGCGGTAGTACCGCATATAAGCGGTACTACCGCTCCCCCCAAAGGTACTACCGCTCACGGGCGGTACTACCGCTCACGGGCGGTACTACCGCTCCTACAGCCACTACTACTGTCGCTGAACCCGACATGAGAAAACCACGTCTCGGGTCGAGGCAGTACCAGCGCGGAACCGGAGCCGTACTACCGCTTATGGCCATGGGCGGTACTACCACTGTGGGACAACGGTACTACCGCTTGTGGCGATAAGCGGTACTGCCGCTCTGGCCCAGCGGTACTACCGCTGGCGCCATCCTTATGCCACTTCCATGAAAACAAGTATACTCCAAGGAAAACCAGAACTGCCATAACTTCTGCGAATGAGCTCCGAATTGAGCAAACTCAAGCTTGTTGGATACATGACAACGAGTAGCATCAAAACCGCTGTAAGAAGAGGCAGGGGAGGTATGCCTAAGAAATAGAGGAGTGAACACTCCAACAGAGAAGAACCGACATAACCTCCAACATCAAAAACATCATAGAAGATGCATGTGAACTCCGTTTTCGATGAACTCGAGCTTGTCATAAAAATGACCATAAGCTCCAAATCTCACAAGGAGAAGAACCAAACAAGAACCAATAAAGATGATGCAAGGATGCAATGGTTTGAGCTCTCTACGAACGATACGATCAAGCTACTCATCGAGAGCCCCCCTTGATAGTACGTTAATCGATCCTATAACCCGGTCTCCCACAACTACCATGAGATCGGTAAAATAGAAAACCTATCAAGGGCAAACCTTTGCCTTGCACATGGTCCACTTGAGCTAGATGATGACGATCTTGACTCCCTCAAGTTGGACCACCTTTCTTGATTGCGTTGGCTCGATGAAGACTAGTTGATTGCTCCCCCATACTCCACTATGGGTGAGCCTCTCTTCCGCACATCTTCACAAGTCCATTGTCACCACAATGGACGACAAGCTGCAAGCATTTGATATCTTCGTGATGCTTCACTTGAACTTGCACACCACAACCTAACCCCACAAAGAATTCTCACGAAGATCATGGGTTAGTACACAAAGCGTAATTGACAATGCTTACCATACCATATATAGATGCCCAGAGTCAGCCTTTATCTTTAGTGTTAAGAGCAACTCCAACAACCCCCTTATAAATTTCCCTATAAAACAATTTTTTGTTTTTGCCTTCACGCGAAAGTTAGGGGAAGTTGTCTAGTGATTTTTGTCAGTTCTCCTAAACTTCTTTCCCCCCTAAATCCAATTTTATTTTATTTTTGTTAAACAAAAATAGATAATTGCCTAGAACCCACTAGTCAATGACATACGTGACGACGGGCGGTGCGAGGCGTCGTACCGGCGGCGGCATCATTGATGGAAAGTTGGCGGGGGGGAGAAAGCCTCTCCGATCATTCCAGTAAAGTGGCAATAACTTTGCGAAACTTTCCATAAACCCGTGGGAGGGGATGCCTTTTTTACGGGATCGTAATGGCCACTTTACAACAACTGTTGGAGAGATTCTTGCCCCAACTTTCTGTAAATGCCAATTATTTTAGTGAACGAGAGCAGTTGGACATGCTCTAACACAAGAGAACGATTGTAAAAAGATTACTAGTGTCCAAGGGCATGTTCGTAGAATAATCACCTCTCGCACGGAATCCATGGACTAAGCCACTCCACCAACCAGAGCTCGGCCGGACCCCTTCATTCTTACACAAGCGCACGACAGTCGCCATTACCGGCCAACACGAGCTACTCATCGTCACCACAACGCCCCGTTGAAGAAACGATCCCATGCCACTCCAAAAGCCCAAAATCTATGAGCCCCTCGTCGACGCAGGGTAAACCACCGACGAGTAGGAGTCAAGACCGCCCCGTGAGACACATATTCCCACCGCCGGCGTCCTTCACTCCATCAAAACGCCGTCAGCGAGGACACTAAGCCTAGATAAACTACGTAGATGTATACATACCGGGCGGACAACCACGTCCCTGCCGCCTCACGACGCCTGGCCGAAGGTCGGAGGCGGAGGGGAATGACGGCGTCGCCGGTGGCACCGTCTTCCTTATCCCTATCTACTGTAGCATGGAAAGCACACTCTGTTCGAAAACAGTTCGCTGGTACTCCCTCCGTTCCAAAATAGATGACCCAACTTTGTATTAAACTTAGTACAAAGTTGAGTTATCTATTTTGGAATGGAGGGAGTAGTACGTAGTAGTGTTTTAGCCTCGTCTCCGGAAAGTGGTCAAGTGATATGGTCCATAGCCCTCATCAGGGCCGTCGATGGCGATATCCAACGGCAGGCGACGCGTGGAGCGGCGCGCAATGTCACGTCGCGATTCCGAACTCCTGTGGGTCGGCGCGGCCAGTTGGTTGGAAAGCGCGATCTGAGATAGTCGGGCTCAGGACCAGGTCGGCCCGTCCCAGTCGGAGCCAGGTCATCAGCCCACACGGGCCCACCGCGGCCGGGCCCGTGTCTTCGCCACACTCCCGACCACCCCGCTGCACACCCGCCTTCCCACGCCCAGGTGGGACCATCCCCCGCGGGCCCACCGCGTCAGAGACCTACCACGGATCCCCGGGATCGCCCGCGTCGCCAGGACAATCCTTTCGGCCGGGCACAGTGTAATAAAACCGAATCCAAATCCTTCCTTGGGTCAGACTCGACGACGCCCGCACGCACGCCGCAGCCCAACCGCTGCCCCCCCCACCCCACCCCCCCTCCCTCGAGCTCGCCGCCGCCGCCGCCGCCGGCGGCCGCCCCGCCTCGGCGAGATGGAGACGGCCCGGGCCCCCGCCGCCCCCGCGACGTCCAGGCCGCGCACCGTGGAGGCCATCTTCAGG